CCTTCCCATTTTCATCCTTCTTTTCTTATTTTGACCATCAGTGGATTTAAATGAAAAAAAAAAAGAGTGGTAACAAACAGAAGCACTTCAACAAGTATGTTGAATTTATCTCACAATATGTCCTTACTGGTAAAAACATTTTATTTGTCCTTGTGAGAACTGTACAAAGATTAAATACTTGTGGACCGTAAATAATAAATTAATGCTCTGTCCAAAATCTTTCACAATCTCTGGCCTCTTCTTGTATTGCAACTCAGTTGATATTTTGAATAGCTTCATAATGTATGCGTAAGATGAAGATTTTCTTTCTCTTAAATATGTTTTTCATATATTTGTTTTGCTCTTTACGTGTCTTTTTAATGGGATGGTAAATATTTGTCGTTTTTGTCTCATCCAAGCTGTGTCAGACCAACCAATGTGCTGCTTTGTGACACAACGCTTGATGCTTTGGCCACTTTTTGAACTGTTTTTGTTAGTGAGAAGTTACTTGCAGTTTCTTTATTGACATTGTTTCAGTAACTGCTTTAAAAGTAGATTTTAAGCATTTTCAGTACTTCAAAAGTCCCTCAATTTACCCCAGGCCACCTTGACTTTTTGTTTTATGTTGAATGAGATGACAGAAATTAAATGGTTTTAAATATGACCATTTATTTTTCAATTCTATTATTTTTTATTATTTTATTTAACTACATTTTAAAACGTTAATTAAATAGCTTTAAATATGTCTTATCAATTTGTTTATTTAAAAAGTGATTTATTAACATTTATATATAACGTATTCCTTCATTTTATTTTTAAGTCTCAGATCCTACTTCCATAGTTAGGGGTAAATTATCCGTAGCCTCGCCATCTGCGTGAGATCTGTCAAGCGCTGTTTGCATCACTCAAATGTGTGTTAGCGGACAAATAGGAGCACCTCGGTAGAGGAAGATTAGCTACCCAGCATACAACTGTTGCGCTAATCCGCTCTGAGAGGATAGGCTTAGACAACTACAAGACGAGCGACACTGCTAAATTGTTTGACTTTTTTCCATAAAAAAGAAGAACGCCGCTCTTTTTTTATATTTATATTTATTTTTATTTTATTTAATTTTTTTATTTTTTGAGAGTTTCTAAAATAAGAATCCCGAACTGTTCTATTGGAACTCTAAATTTGGTGTGTTCATGCTGTAGTTAGGATGTTTTCTATTTATCTGATCTGAAAACGACGTCGCTGCTCTTTCGTCTTCTAAACTGACCATTACAGCAGTTTGAAATCTTGTCTCATAACACATTGATCCAAAGATGAAGGACCGACTGGAACAGCTAAAAGCGGTAAGCGATTTTTTCCCTTATGTTATGAGTTATGATTTTATTATTAAACACCCGGACTGATTTGCTACTGTTTGACCTTTACCTGGGACTGAACTCATATTGACTAACGTTAACTAGGGTCATTTTATTGAGTTATGTTCAATAAACAGATAGGTTAAAAGAATAAACAGTATCTTAACTGCCATCAAGCACGTAGAAACGCGTCTGACATTAATAGTTGAGATGAAGCAAGGCACAAGAGCATTCACACCATCAATGTCCTCCTGCCCTGTCATATGGGCCGAATCTCTTTAAAATATCTGTTTTGCGTTGTAAATTCTGTGTATTCTGTGTACACTATTCTGTGTAGTGTTACATTTCTGTAACTTTTAAGTTCTGTTGAAAATAAATTGCAATGGTGTCTATCTTTAAGTTTCTGACAATAACAAGTGGTTGCTGAAAAAAAATCTTTAACCAGCTTAATGTAGTTTGCTGGTCTTGGTCGGTGTCCCAGCCTGGTCAAGCTGGTCTGTTGGCTGGTCAGGCTGAGAGACCAGCTGGTCGTCTCTCCCTTGCTTGCTGCTGCTTATAGGGAAACTCTGTTTACTCTGATACTGAAGCCTGATTTTTTTCATGGTAGTGTAACTGCACGAACCAATGGCACTTCAACCCACCAAAAGGGGTGGAGCTGACTGTTATATAAGTCAGATCTGAGTGCCATTTCGTCATAATTTTTCTCCTTCAGCGATGAAGATCATCTCCTCGCTGACTCTACAAGCAAGAAGCCAAAGAGAAAGAAGAAAGAAACCCTCTCCATCGTGAGAAGAAGCCCTGGCAGCAGAAGAAGCAAGAAGCCTTCCTCTGCAGCCATCCGGCGCATCGAGTGAACTCACGCAGGCACAGCTCCTGTGTGCTTCACTCTCCCCCCAACGCCTCGATTCACCTGTCTGCGTAACACGTGAGGATCAGCGCTCCTCATTGGCTGCGAGTGGCTTGATTTCCTTCGGTGGATCTGAGGAGGAGGAGGCTGTTGCTGATGACTCCATGAACTCCAAAAAACTAAAACCACTTGCCATCCAGCTTCAGGCTTGGAAAGCTATCCCGGATGTGACATGTTTAGGTTCTAAAATCTGTAGAACGAGGTTACTCGCTTCAGTTCGCTCGCAGACCGCCTCACTTCAGAGGTATCATTCAAACTTTAGTACAGGACAATGATTCTCATGTTCTCTGGTCCGAAGTACAAACACTGCTTGCAAAAGGAGCCGTGGAAACGGTCCTTCTAGTGAACAGCGAGTCGGGATTTTACAGCCATTACTTCCTCGTTTCCAAGAAAGATGGTGGGCTCAGACCCATTCTCGATCTCAGGCATCTGAACCGCTCGCCAATGAGACTGCCGTTCAAGATGTTGACTTTGTAACCGATCCTCATGCAAATATGCCCTGAGGTCCCCCATCACAGACCATTCTTGAGATTCCCATTTAAGGGAGTGTCCTATCAGTATACAGTCCTGCTTTTCAGACTGTTTCTGGCCCCACGCACTTTTACAAAGTGCATAGACGCGGCTCATTCCCCTCGGAGACAGATGGGAATCCGCATTCTGAATTACCTCGACGATTGGCTGGTCTTAGCCAGATCAGAACAGGAACTCATCACTCACAGGTTGCTGCTGCTCAGCCACCTAGAGCGGCTTGGGTTGAGAATCAATTTAGCCAAGAGCTCTTTGTCTCCCAGCCAGCGAGTGGGCTTTCTGGGGGCAGTTATCGATTCTGCCAGGATGCTGGCATGGAACACTCCTTGACTATTCAGCGGCTAGCGGCGTCTTTCAAACTGGGGACTTCACGTCCCCTCACTGTTTTCCAGAGGATGCTCGACCTCATGTCGGCCACTTCCTCTGTGATTCCTATGGGCCTGTTTCACATGCGGCCTCTTCAATATTGGCTCAAAGCCCATGTCCCGTCCCATGCTTGGCCCCTGGGATGTTTTCATCTCAGGGTAACCCACCGCTGCATCAGAGCTGTGGCCCCTTGGAAAACTCCCCATTGGGACTGACCTCCAGAAGGAAGGTGGTCACAACAGATGCCTCCAATTCGGGTTGGGGAGCTCTGTATGAGGGCAGATCTGCATTTGGCTCCTGGTAAAACCTGGAGCAATCCTTATACATTAACTGCCTTGAGATGATGGCACTTTTTCTAGCCCTAAAACCTTTCCTATCCGCTTTAAGTGGGCACCACGTCCTGGTCTGATCAGACAACATGACGGTGGTAGCCTTTATCTATCACCAGGGTGGTTTCAGGTCACGCTTCCTTCACAGGTTGGCTTGACACCTCCTTTTATGGGCACAAGGCAAACTCCTCTCACTGAGAGCAGTTCATATGCTGGGCAGACTGAATCAAGTGGCAGACATGCTGTCCAGGGACAATGTGGCTCCAGTAGAATGGGGAGACTACATCCCCAAACGGTTCAAATGTTCTGGTCTGTCTTCAGCAGGGCAGAGGTGGACCTCAGAAGACAACTTTAACTGCCCAATTTATTTTTCTAAACCGCGAGATGCCCTGGTCCACTATTGGCCCAGCGCTTGCCTGTATGCCTTCCCCCCAGTTGCCCTGCTTCCTGAGGTCATCAGACAGGTCAGGGAAGTCAGATGCTCAGTCCTCTTTGTGGCCCCACTCTGGAGGACTCAGATGTGGTTCCCCAAGTTGATTCAGCTGCTATTGGCAGCCCCCTGGCTGATACCAATGAGGAAGGACCTTCTCTTGCATGCGAAGGGCATGATTTGGCATCCCCGGACAGAGCTGTGGAGCCTTCATGTTTGACCCCTCGACGGGAGCCTTTGCTGCTCCTTGCGAGTGTAACTAATACCATTTTAGAGGCTAGAGCTCCATCTACAAGATGTCTTTACCCCCTTAAATGGTCAGTCTTCTCTGACTGGTGTGCAGCACGGAACCAGGATCCATCATCGTGCGACGTGTCCTACATGCTTACTTTTCTACAAGAGCTGCTAAATAAGGGGCGCACCCCTTCCATACTCAAAGTGTATGTGGCAGCCAACGCGGTGAATCATTCTCTCTTGGTTGGCCATCTCGGAGATTGAATCCACCTTGCCCTCATACTGTGCTGACTTGGAACTTATCTATTGTCCTCAGGGCTCTGCGAGGTCCTCCCTTTGAGCCGCTCCAGTTGGCCAACTTTCGGCCCCTGTCGCTTACAGCCACCCTCCTTCTGGCTTTAGCGTCTGTCAAGCAAGTGGGTGACCTGCAAGCACTGTCAGTCAGTGCTTCCTGTCTTGAGTTTGGGCCTAATGACTGTAGAGTCGTCCTCAAACCGAGACACGGCTATGTGCCAAAAGTGCTCTCCACTCCATTCAGAGCACAAGTCATCACCCTCCT